AATATACCCAGCTCCTTTCGTACGAGGGGGCTATCCTTATTTTATTCTAATTTCCTCTAGAAGATAGAAACCATACTGTCTCACGACGTATTTAACCCAGCTCGTGTAACTTATTAATCGACGAACAGTCGAACCCTTCATGATTACTGCATTCATGTGGATAAGTTAAGCCGACATCGAGGTGCCAAACTGCGCACTCAATTTGTACTTCCTGGCGCAATTAGCCTGTTCAAAATTTGTTATCATAAAGGTTATTTATCCTTTATTTCCATCTTTCACAAGATGGTTCAGACTATTTCTTCATTTCTTTTTATATAGTAAATGCAACGCGAGAATTATGAAGAATAATTTAAAAGGATAATAATACTATTTAGTAATTATTTACTGCTTATTCAACCTTTAGACCAAAAGCTCCACTACGTGTTTTTGTATTTACTACAGTATATTGCACATTAGATTTAGCATGACCTCTTAACATTACTGATGATAATTTTCTATAAGAAGAATCCAAATTTTTAATGCTACCTTTTCATTTTACCTTAAATACAGATCTAGAGGCAGTAGAACGTTTACTTAATCTACCTTTAGCTTCTAATCTTACACCCGACATATCCTTATTTTTCAAAGAATCAAATACAATATCTAACGGATTATAAGTGTTAATATAATTTTCATTATAAGCTGTTAAAGGTGTTTTATCTTTATCACCTGACATAAACGTTTGAAGAAGGTAATATATCTAGTAATAATTGATCTAACGTATCCTTATCTGTGTTATATTTATTTATATTAGAATTAATATGTAAATTTTTAAGGTGATCTAGGCAAAAGTTATCTACTTTTACACTATTTTCTTTTATCTTATTAACTCTAGTAATTTAACTAAATATAAGGAAGATTTTAAGACATTTAATAGATTATTTTTTCTATTTTTCAATTTTGTAGATATTACTTCTGTAAAAATGTCACTATTGAAATACAAAGTTTTTAAATTTACTATATTAAATTCTACTTCTTTACTGTAAAGTTTACCTATTATTCCTTTTAATTTTAATATAAACTCATCCTCAAATTTAGATTTATTTAAGTTAAGTAAAAGTTTACATGTAGCAATCTCTTAATTTCTTTACTTAAAAAATTTTTTCTTAAGGACTCTGTATATAATTGGTCCAATTTTTTATGAGCTATTTTATCATTTTTACTTAAAATTATCATTTCATTTATAATATCTAAATATGATACCATATAAGGGTCTACTTTTAAGTCTAGATTTGACTTTAAATTAGACTTTAACTCCTCTAAATAATCTACAAGAGAAGCTTCTTTTTTATATACATTTATATCATGTAATAGATTTATTAAAGATGGATTTATATCAAGATTTTTAAGTATAGAGGTAAAATAAGCTTTTATTAAATTTTTTCAATTTTAAAGTTAAATAAATTTTTCTGCATTATATGTATATAAGGTTACTGTTACTTTAGAACTTGTGTGTTTTAATTCTGCTTTACTTATCAATATCTTATTTAGAGATAGTCTTCTAAATCTTATAGCTATTTTACTACTTTTTAATGTTTTATTATTAAATAAAAATTAAAATAACTTTTAACTAACTGACTTAAAGTTTTATCTGCAATAGATAAATTTTTATATAACTTTGGTTATAAGCATACACAGAATTAAATCATTCTTTAGTCGCAGCAGGAAAAACACGAGTAGGACCTATAGTGTTAGAAATAACATCTAAAGGTATATTTTATGTTTAAAATTTATTTTTTTGTTAAATATAAGGGGTTTCAATATTTCAGTTTTTTGGTTATTATTTTTCATGTTTTTTAATTATTTATACCAACATAATACAGTGGTAATAAGCTTTACTTTAATCTAAAAACTTTAAAGAAACTAAACTAAAGTAAAGACTATTTCATTAATAAATTAATATTAACTAAGGTTAAGCAATATAAATAATATTGCAATTATATAACTATATATTAAGAAAGTTGGGCATTATTAGAAAGATTATTGTTAGCATAACTCACTTTCTAGTCGTTGACGGTTTTACTTTTAACACCTTTTTAAGTAATTATGCTAAAGTAAAGTTCGCTTCAAGTATACTAAGTCCTCAGACAAAGTTATTCTTGAAATTAACCCAATAAATTGCCAATGAGTTTAAGTCTAATTAACCAATATTAAATATTAGTAGACTTAAACATTGGAGGACTAACATCCCTAGCGTAGCTTTTTCATAAATCCAAGACCTTTCCTTTCTGCATCTTGTGATCATATGCCCCGCTTACGCGACTGATAGACGTGTAAGTCAAACAGTAAAGCAAGATTAAGCCATTAAACTTGACAAGTAATAAACATAATTATCATATTAGCAATTTGTAGTTTGGTTTCACCAAATACACCTAATAAAAAAATTAAAAAAACATTGGAAAGATATCTACTTCAATGTTTTAATTACATCTATTTTCCATATAGATAAAATCTTACTAGGATAAAAAAATATTTCTAACTTAATAGATAAATAGCTGGATTAGTTATAGCATAAGCTACACCAAATAACAAACTAAAAATAAATACATTAAATATATAATGTATTGTTAGTCATGAAAACTTATTTCCAAATAGTATACTTAGAAGTAAGTCATGTCAATTTTACAAAATTAACTTTGGATACACCCAGGTACTTTTTATGGGATCTGTGCCCCGCATAAACTGCCTCCTAGCCATTGTTTCCCTAACATAGTAGGGGTAATTTCCTATCTTTAGATAAGAAAATAGAATAAATCTATCAATATGACGAATAAAATAAAGGTCTTCCAATAATATCTAACCAATTACCTTATATTACTAAAATTAATTAAATCACATTCAATAACTAGCAACAGTAAAGCTGCATAGGGTCTTCTCGTCTAACTAGAGGTAAACTGTATCTGCACAGTTATTCCAATTTCACTGAGCCAATCATTGAGACAGCTGTTGTATCGTTAAATCATTCATGCAAGACCGCATTTAACGGCCAGGTATTCCGCTACCTTAGGACCCTCAAAATAAGGCCGCCATTGATCGGGGTTTCCTTCAAAGTCAAGCTTATATTAGTCAACTTAATAAATCGTTAACCAGCCGACATCGGGCAGAAATCACACTCAATACTTTGATTTATTATCTTACTGCAGAGTGCTTTGTTTTAATTAAACAGTCGTACAACACTATTCCATGCTTCCTATTCTTTACCTGATATTAATCAGGAGGAATGGCTCTCCTTATCCCTAAGTTACGGTAGTTAGTTTGCCGAGTTCCTTAATGATTGTTCACTCAAACGCCTTCGTATACTCTACTTGCTTACTTGGGGTAGACTCTAGGTACGGTTATTATGTCGCCTTAATAATAAATATTTTTAAGATATTTACTATTTAAGGTTTTTACTGTTTTTCCAGAACCTTCTTCACTTAAGAAAAAGATAATAAGACGAAACATCTTAATCTCTTTTTCTTATAAAAGGTTGTTACTTTGTAGACAAGATTTTCTCATCGTTTAATCCTTTAGGTTTATAAACTTAGAGGCCGTTACTTTAAAAAATCCATAAGCTTTAGGCGAGGGGGATATACCCCCTTTTCGTTACTCATGTCAGCATTGTCACTTGGGTCATTTATTCCTAAATCTTTTTAAGAAATAGTCTAAAATTTACCCAACGTTCCGCTACCCCATATTATATAATATTATGTTTTAATATGGACAAGGTGTCGGTATATTATTTAGATCCGTTAAATTTTCGGTGCCACTATCAATGTAAATAGTAAACTATTTACTGAACCAGTGCTCTGTTACGAGGTCTTCAAAAATGGCCGCTTCTAAGCCTATTTCCTAGTCGTATTTGATAGAAACTTCCTTAATTTCACTTAATATTAATTTTGGAACCTTAACTCTTGTTCTGGGCTGTTTCCCTTTAGACATACAACCTTAGCGTACTATGTCTGATTATTTAATATTCATCATTGCCCTTCCGAGTGCGAATACTCACCGATAAAATCTTCACGATCCCCCGATATGTACAAAAATAATAAATAACACAAATAAATATGTTATCTATTAAAGTTGCCTGAGATCACAGTTCTGTACCTGCTATGATGTAACTTAAATTACCTACTTCTATAGGTTTCGCAGAAAACCAGCTATCCTGGTCAGTTTTGTCTTTCACTAACTTACCACAGTTCATCGGATATCTATACAACGATAACCCGTTCGGGCTTTTATAACCCTGACTATGGTAAGATCACCAGGCTTCGGGTCTAATTTTAGATACTAATTCATTATTTCATAATTGGTTTATCTAGGCATTGCTGCTCGCATCTAACATTAACTTACTGACCCATTATGCAAAAGGTACGCTCTCACTATGTATTTAAACTTTGCTTGAGCTGCTTATAAAACTACTAATTCAAACCTTTCCTTCACAGAACTATACGCTGTCGCTTATATATTATATTTAGCCTTAGAGGAAGGTTCCCCTTAACATTCAAACAGGTTTATAGCCCGTTCTACTTATTTAAAGTATTAATAGAGATTTAGTTATCCTTTATCTCCTTTTAATACTCTAGGCTCTTCTACTTTAATTCACACTAATTGTAGAATCTCGTTTGATTTCTTTTCCTAAAGCTACTAAGATGTTTCAATTCACTTCGTTTATTACTGAATTTATCTAAGAGTTCATGTGTTAAGTATTTTTACACAATTTAAAAATATTACTCTCTTTAATATATAGCAAGGTATTCCTAATAGTTTCTTTATATACTTGCTTATACTACAATTTATAGTATATAAACATTAAATCTATATCCATTACATTATATTACTAATACCAATTTAGTACATGTAGTACTAAATTACGTATTTTCGGGTTATTATGGTTCGAACATAACAATTCCTCAACCCAAATGAGACGCCTAACCAACCTGGCTCTAACCCGTTTATAATAATGTATTATTGCTAATAATACAGAGAATATCCGATTTGAACGGATGTGATTTATAAAAAACCAAATAAATCTCAAGTTTACCGCCTTAACCGCTCGGCCAATTCTCTTTACTATGGTTTACAACATATAATTTATATAGTATTATACTATGATTCTTTCAAGACTTGAACTTGAATAACATCCTTATCAAAAACGCACTTTACCAATTAAGTTAAAGAACCTTATGCTAAACTAATATATGTTTTACAAGAGTACTCAGACTTGAACTGAGAACATGAAATCTGAAGCTTCTTGTTTTGCCTATTAAACTATGCTCTTTTATTAAAACCTTAACGAAAGTATAGCTTTTTATTAACGGAAAGAGATGAATTGAACTCCAGGTGTTAATACACAATATTTAGCAAATATCTCGCCTTACAATGGCAACTTTTCCTTTCTATGATAACATAATAAAAAGACTTTTTTATGCTAACAATAAAAAACATATTCAGTATATATGCGGGCCAGACCGGATTCGAACCGACATCTACTTTCGTGACAAGAAAGTCCTTTACCAATTAAGTGACTAACCCTTGTTATTTTGCGGCTAGCCGAAGTCGAATCGACATAAAACGTTTGGAAGACGTCGGGTTTACCATTAACTTATAGCCGCTTATTCTTTTAAGACCTATGGGATTTGAACCCATATAATAGTGATTAAAAGGCACATGCTTTACCAATTAAGCCAAAGTCTCTAAAGATATATAATATTATTTATCTTTTATTAGTTTACTAATACTTATATAGTTATATTTATGACCCTCAATAGTATATAGATACGAATAAGAAAAGTCATACTACATCTACAAAATGTCAATACAATATACTTGACTCTAAACCTAAATGATGGTTATCTGTAGCATGGTAAGCTAATACACGTCATAAACCTACAGCTATAAAAGCTGTTCCTATCATTACGTGTATCCCATGGAAACCTGTCCCAAAATAAAAACATGATCCGTAGGCTCCATCACTTATAGTAAATGAAGAGACTGTGTACTCTACACCTTGAAAACCTGTAAAGATTAAGGCTAATAAAACTGTAGCTACTATACCGTATAAGGTTCCACTTCTGTTTCCTTGTATTAAAGAATGATGAGCATATGTAACTGTTACACCACTAGACAATAATATAATAGTATTAAGCAAAGGCAATTCAAAAGGATTTATAGCTTCTATACCCATAGGTGGTCATTGAGCACCTAATTCTACAGTAGGTGATAAAGCACTATGAAAGAAGGCTCAAAAGATAGCTAAGAAAAATAATGCTTCTGAAACAATAAATAGAGCAACACCCATGTTTAACCCTTTTTGTACTGCTAATGTATGATTACCTAAATATGTACCCTCACTTATAACATCACGTCATCAAAAGGACATAGAAGAAACAACAGCTATAAAAGAACAAGCTAAATAGAATCCTGCGTTACTAAATCCGTGCATAGTTAAGACACCGCTGGTAGTTAAATTAAATAAGGCAATACATGTGTAAATAGGTCAAGGTGAAGGAGAAACTAAATGAAACGGATGTGCTTGAAACTGACTTCTGTTAAGGTTTGTCATCTTTTTATTTTTCTTTACTTGTCTGGAACAAACTTAATTTTCCTTTTTCACTATTTGTGTATTAATCAGATACATTTTTATTTTTCGTGTTAAATATTGATATAACATTCATATTTAGAAGAACTAATACCTAAAAAAAAAAAGATACGTATATATACATGGTTTAAGGAGACGTTCAATTTATTGTAGATACTACTCTATTTAAAGGATAAGTGATTTGAACATTTAACCTACCATGTGTAAAACGGTTGCTCTACCAATTGAGCTAATCCCTCTAGGGTTAATATATATATATTAACCTATAAATTGTCCGGTCTTTATATTTAGATTAATATATATTACAGACCTTTAATTAACTCATCTATTATGAATTAAGTTTTCTCTGTAGTATAAATAGAATCGGGTAATAATTAGCTTCATATTTTTAATTTTATTTAGAATCTGATACATATGTAGGTATTGATATAGACTTACATTTATTCTTCTAGATAAAAAAAAAGAAATTTACAAAGGAAGTATAAAGACAGACTAATGTATTAAATATTAAAACTTATAATAAACTCCTTTAAGGGATAAAATGATTCGAACATTCAACCTACCGTGTGTAAAACGGTTGCTCTACCAATTGAGCTAATCCCTCTAGGATTAATTTATATATATATATTAACCTATATTTATGTTAATACTTTATGTACCACCAGCAGCAGTTATTTCACTTACTCTCCTCAAAACCACAGATTTAAATTACTCCGCTACTCCATGATTGTGCACATTTATAGCTATATGCCACATAATACGAATTCTACCCGTTTCAGGGTCAGCTTCAAGAATAGCTAATTCCGAAAAATATCGGACTGTTAAGCATAACACGATAGTCTGCGATAAGTACATCTAAATTAACATTACCACATATAACACCATGAGCTACAGCATCTACGTCACAAATTCTACTTAGAGGTATAATTATATTACCATTCTTATATAAATAACCGTTAGGAACATTATATACTCTAAACACCTAGTTTCTTTAATTATACTATTTCATGCAATAAGCCCTCAAGATTGCTTACTTAAGATAAGAGACTCACACAAAGATAAATCAGGTAATTTAATTAAATAGGGTGCTACTGCTACTAAATAATCTAAACCACTATTGGTAAAATTTTCCAGAAATGTTCTTAACAATTCGAATATCTTTTGTTTAATTTAATTTTTATATATTATTCTACACTTTTGACTAAGATACATAGATATATATATTAGATAATTAGAATTATATTGTGTACGTACTTTAAGTACATTGAGTAAACCTAGTGCGAAAGTGAGTACAAGATTCGAACTTGTGTCCTTATGTCCATAACACAAAACTCTACCCTTTGAGCTAACCCATCTATAATTACTATAGACAATTTAATATTAAATCTTAGTATTGCACTAGTTTTTTTGTTTTATTGTTATAACAATTGCACCTACCATAGCTAATAATAAAATTATCGAGGTCAATATTAATCATATACTATGACTAGAATATAAAATATTTCCAATAGTAGTTATATGACTAGTTTCAGATAAAGTTCCGTCCCATGTTTTACTTGTAACATAGCTTAAATCAAGATCCTTTGGTGTAATATCTTCTATATTAATTAGATTATTATCTAAGTTTATATTAACACTTTTTTCATCAAGACTCCCCTTTAAAGGTCATAAGTTATCAGCTGGAAAACTAAGACCAAGACCTAAACCAAATATAAGAAGTGGGATACTATTACTTGTTTCATTTGATAATTCACTTATTCTAACATTTATTAACATAAGTATAAAAAGGAATAAAATAGAAACAGCTCCTACATAAACTAATAAGTAAGATAAACCTATAAAATTAAGGCCTAACACTATAAGATAACAAGATATACTTAAAAATAACCCGATTAAAAATAGCACAGAAACTATGGGATTCTTACATACTATGACCAAGATACCAGAAAAAATACAAATCAAAGACAACAAGTCTAATACCTCTGTTTGGTACCCGTTTGTAAAAGTTTCATGAAAAACAAAAGTGATAAGTTCATTTTTTATGTATAGTTTTTTAAATCTCCTACACTTTTGACTAAGATATATCTATATATTAGATAATTAGAATTATATTGTGTACATACTTTAAGTACATTGAGTAAACCTAGTCAGGAAAGTGAGTACAAGATTCGAACTTGTACCCTTGTGTCCGTAGCACAAAGCTCTACCTATTAAGCTAACACACATAAAAAATAAATAAACTCAAACAGAATTAAATTAAATTAAATTAAGAAACAGATAGGTAGAGATACAGAAACAGAAACATAGACAGAAACATAAACAGAAACATAAACATTATTAATTAGCCCTTAAGATGATTCGAACATCTAACCACAATATTAACAGTATTATGCTCTACCTTTGAGCTATAAAGGCTCTACATATACAATGAAGTTGTTGATTAAAGTGCGGGCAAAGGATTTGCACCAATATATACTGATCATGAGTCAGTTATGTTACTATTACATCAACCCGCATTTGGGCTATTAGGCTTAATAAACTATTTAGGAAGAAAAGGAATTGAACCTTCGACAGCAAAAGGCTATTGAGTTTACAGCTCAACCCGTCATACCAACAAACGGAACCTTCCTTTAGTATACAATATCTTAAATATTACATACAGTTTATTGTTTACTTTAATTAGCCCCGTGCAATTTCCACTACACGAACCGTATTTCGACTTAACACCAATCGAAGTAACACATACGAAAATTAACTAAATATATATAAAGAACGTATTATCTTAATTAAAAATAAATAGTTGACCAAACTTATTGCATAAACTTCTTTCAGCGCGCGACGAGTAGTAAGTACCTATCCGAGAAAAAATTCACCGTGACATGGTGATTCACGATTACTAGTAATTCCTTCTTCATGTAGTCGAGTTACAGACTACAATCCGTATTATATCCTACTTTTGAGATTAGCTTAAATTCACATTTTCGCATCTCTTTGTATAGGGTTATGTGGCACGTCTATAGCCCACAACATTAAGGTCATGATGACTTGTCTTGGTCCCATATATCAACCAATATAATGGCGAACTGCTCTATAAAATACTATTTAAAAATAAAGCAAGGGTTTACGTTAATTTTATGGAACTAACCAAAATCTCACGACATTAACTGAAGACAGCCGTGCAACGCTTGTAATAATTTTAACCAATTAAGATTAAAAATAATATGCAAATCGTGGTGAGGTTTTTCGTGGATTATCGAATTAAATAACATACTTCACTACTGATTTCAGAAACGGCCTAATGATTTCAGTTTCTGCGTTGCCGCATTACTCTTAAGGTGAAATGCTTACACTTTCATTTATATGCTAAATTAATCTAGCATATGGCATTTAGAATTCTCTGCCTGGACTACTAGGGTATCTAATCCTGTTTGCTACCCAGGCCTTCGTACCTCAACGTCAGTTATTAGATAGAAGGTTGCTTTCGCCTTTACCAGTCTCTAAGGTATAATTAAATATAAACTCTCCACCATAAATACCTCCTTCTCCTATAAAACTCTAGTACTATCGTACCCTTTTTTGGGCTAATAATACCGTCTAGGTACCCTTTAAACCTATTAAAGATGAATAACACTTGTCTTTTACGTATTACCGCGACTGCTGGCACGTATTTTGGTCAAGACAAATAGATAAAAATTTGTCATAATCAATATTATATCTAGAACTTTATTCGACATAGTCGATGCTTACCTTTATTTTTAGGTTTCACAAGCCGAAGCTTTACGTTCTTCCAAATTGCTGGTTCAGCCTTTAGGCTATTGACCAATATTCCCCACTGCTGTACTATACGTATTGGGCTTTTTTCAGACCCAATGTGACCGATGGACCTCTCAGCCTCGATTACGGAATTTTAAGCTAGTTAAGCCATTACCTTAACTACTACCTATCCGAGATATTTATTGTCATCTTAAAGCGGAAATTTACTTCCTTTCTTTATAAGGTATTTATTAGCCTTACTTTAAGGTAGCCAAAATATCATATACTCACCTGTACACCACTTTTAATTAAATAAATAGTTTTCCAGGCTTAACCTGAAGACTATTATATTATATTAAACGTACGATTAGCATGTGTCAAGCATTTGGACAGCGTTCATTCAGAGCCATCATCAAACTCAAATATATTCTATAATTGTATTAATAATTAATTAGTTAATTAAATATTAATACTACTAATGTGTATTTAACATTACAATAATTTAAGATCATCCCCGACAGAGCCTGGATTATAACCAGTTGTATTAATAACTTAATAATCTGATTCAGATTTTTAAGATATTACATTTAATGAAAATTGCACATGATATACACTTTGTATTTATACAAATAAATCCTCTATTAAATTTAAATAATTCTTGTAGACTATATGTATAAATCTAAGAAAATCTAAAAATAAATAGATATACAATTAAGCCAGTTTCTGTTTAATAATTAGTCTGTCTTAACTTTTAACTGTAGGCTTGTATTTTAACATAATACTACGTAATAAACAAGATAGACTTGCTTAAATGTATTTCATATACAAAATTTTGTATATTAAAAAATTTTTCTGTACTATACCAAAAACTTTAGCTTTAACACTTTATACCTGTATAAGTTTAATAAACACTGGACTTTAACAAATCTATATGCAAATTTTATATTAATATAAGATTTATTCTTAATATACCTATTGATCTTAACCATACCTATGGTTAAACATACGTATAAATACCTATCTAAAATTTAAAATAAAAAATCTAATCATAAAATTACAAAATTTTCATTTAGTTTATATATATATATATATATATATATATTATAAAATTTATAATATAATATGTCTTACACTTAATGTAAATCTAATCCATCTTTAATGTAACTACTTGTTAATACCACAAACACTTGAGCTTGTATAAAAGCAATACCCAATTCAAGACCACAGAAAGCAATTATAAACGCTAAAGGCATTAAACCTAAAAAGAAGAATATAAATCCTGAAGTCATGATATTATAAGTAAATCCAGCTAAGATATGTAATAACATATGACCACTTAAGATATTAGCAGCTAATCTAAGCCCTAATGATACAGCTCTAGCTAAATAAGAAATAAATTCAATTAAAACTAATAAAGGTAATAAACCTAAAGGACAACCAGCTGGTACTAATAAAGAAAAGAACTCTAACCCGTGTTTTTGGAATCCTAATATAGTTGCACCTAAAACTATAGTAAAACTAAGTCCAAAAGTTAATACAAAATGACTAGTAGATGCAAAGCTATATGGAACTAAACCTATTAAATTATTAATTAAAATAAATACAAATAAGGCATATATAAAAGGGAAATATAATTGACCTTTTACAGAGTTTATTTGATTTGTAACAATACTATGTATTGTTGCATATAATGTTTCTTGACTAATTGATCAGCTATTACTTATAATTTTATTATAATTAGTAGCTAAAACACTACCACTTAAAATTATAAAAGTAGATATTAATAAATATAATCCTATATTTGTAATAGATATGTTAATATCTCCCAATATAGGGGCTTCCATACTTAGA